TATATATATATATATATGATGTAAATAAATACCTACTAGGGCTATTTATAAAGGCTTAGGCTACAAGCATATTCTAAATTACTATACGCACATTTATTATATATATACACTTATCTAAGGTTTTTTTATTGGTTCATCTACATTTCTTTTTTCTTATCTCAACACAAGTCTTGATTCCCTCCTTCTCTGCTTTGAATCAACATGGGTTCTACCCCCTTTCCTCTTCATTGGCCTAGTACAGGTCTTGCTTTTCTTCCTTGAAATTTAGAATCAATTCATAAAGATACACATTCTCCACTCTTCAATCTCTATCAAAGCTCTATTGTATCATTATATAAATCTTAGACTATTTAAACTTTTTGGAATAAAAATACAAAGGTCTTAAAGTAGCCAAATCTAATATTTTTTGTTATTTCAGAGGACCTAGCAACATCATGTATTTTTTAACTTTATTTTGTGAGGCATTGATCAATAATACAATGACATCTTTTTCTGGATTCATCAACAATGAGAATGTAAGGACTTTGTATTGTTGACTAATTAGAACATAGAAGCTTGGTAGAATTAAACATAGTGTATGACACATTGTTCCAATGCCTTTTATATAAAACCTTGCATCACTACCAAATCTAAAGTGAATATGTGGCAATCAATAAAAACCATAACATTTAGATACTCATGTGGATTTATTATTAATGTAAAGATAATTGTGGATGCTTATTTGTTGAATAAATGGTAATACATCAAAATAATAATTATAACATGTAATCCAATAGATCACTACAAAAGTAGCAAGTATCAAATCTTTATTAAACAAATAAATGCCACATATTCGAGGTTATTTGTTGCATTGCATGCATATATTATCCTTAGTACATGAACTTGAAAACAAGATCAAAATGTTACTACCATATTTTTGTGCTTTTTGCAGTACTATATAGTGAGAATTCTATATGAAGATAGGGACCTATGCTAAGGCAACAAAGAAATGCCAAACAAGTATTGAGATAAGGAAAAATGGATTTGGATGAGCCAATCAATAGCCTTGGATGTGTGTATAGACACAATGGGTGTGTATATGGCAATTTGGAGTGTTCTTGTAGCCTAGGCTATTTATTAATCCTACTAATTTAGTAAAAAATATTTTTTAAAATATTTTTTACTATTAATATGTATTTAATTGAAGATAATAGATTTCGTAAATAATAATAATAATAATAATACTATAATTTTAAATTTTAATAAATAAATATAAAATTAATTCTTTCAAATAGTAATATTTTTTAGATTTATTTAAATAAAATAAATAGCCAGCAGGATTCAAATATTTTAAGAATTATTACTTTATTTATTTTTATACGAATTTTTTATTAAAAAAGAATATTAAGAAAATCTTAGATCAAATTATCTTATGAAGTGATTTAGAATTTTACATTTATTTTTTAATAAAAAAATTGTATCTTAAAGAGAGAATAATTTATTACACATATGTACTACTAAAATAAATAAAAATTAATATAATTTTATTTTTAAAATAGCATTTTCTTTTAAAATACTACAGAAAATTTTAAATGTAAATTAGACCTATCGGAATTTTATATGACTACAAAAATAAGTCTACAAAGTTTTTAAACTTTTAAGTGTTTTTTTTTTTTTTTTTTTTTAACAAAATTACCTCCTAAATTAGATACTTAGACTATAAATCTTATAGCCTTTAAATAAATTTCATATAGAATTCATTGTAGCTAAAATTTTAGAATTAAAAAAATATTATCTTTATTTAATATAATAATTTTTTCTTGCTATTGAATTTAGAATATTTTTAATGCCACTAAAATTTTAATTATTTTTTATTAAAATAAAATAAAAAATATTTTTATTTATAAATATTGAAAATTAAAAATATTAAAATTAATACCTATATTGTTTTTAGAATATATATAATCAAAAAAATATATCAAGTAGGTGGCAAATTATAATTGCAATAGCAAAAATTATAGTGACATTTGCAATATCCTATAAAAAAAAAATAGATATATATATATATATATATATGCATGTATTAAAGCGATATCCCGATTTTGTTAAAGCCACACCTCTTTGCAAGTTTATGATTAGTTTACTTGATGCATTGTATATTGTAGATGTAAAGAAGTCGTTTGAGCTCATGTCCAAAGAAAGGTTTACCCTTGTGAAGGAAACATGGTTAGCTTTGTCTTTGCTTCTATAGTATACTACGGAATTGAAACATTGTATAAAGATATGTAAGTAGTTATAAATAAGCACCAAATAGTAGCTTTGCTGAAGATTAATTGGCTCAAAAAGCACTTATTATATTTACTTACTTAATTTTGGATATGTAAAACTTACTAGACTAGGTATAGAAAGAATAGTCTTATTTACAAAGAAAATGCTTGTTCTTATAAAGCCTCTATAATTTCAAAGAAAAATAAACTACAAATTCTAAATTTAAAATTTTTGATAGATTTATATAGAATTCAGTAAAATATCTATATTTATTTACTGACAATAATGCATGTACACAAAATTCAAAAGTTTTTTGGCTATAGCTCAAATAAATTTCATTGATCAAGAAATTGGATATATAGTAGCTTTAATGCATACAGACAAATATCTTAATTGAACAAATCAATAGTATTATATTTGAAATAATTCACAACTTTGCAATACTAACATGTCTACAATATTTACATATTATTTATAAGGCCCATAAGAATAAAAAAGATATGTAACATAACTTGAAAAAAAATATAGTAATTAATAATATTACACAGATTTTGGAAGTGATTCATTAAAAAGCTGAACAATCTCTGTGCCAAATTCAATGAGACAAATCCCCTGTGCAAGCCTAATGAGGAAAGATATGCTTAACAGACATCCCCACAGTCAAAGGGCATTACTTTCTACAAACAAAACATCCATAGTACTAATGAAGAACAAGAAAAAGATGATGGGGAGGGGAGGGGCTAAGAACAAGAAAATGGAAATAGAGATGAAAATAGAAGACATGGATCATAGAATGGGGGATAGAAAATGAGAATTGATAAAACTAATTGTGAACTTGCAAAGGAGTGTGGTTTTAACAACTCTCTCAATTTATATATATATATATATATATATATATATATATATTAAATTCATATTGTTAATAATTATTGTTGAAGTATCTTACAAGTTAAATACTTGTACTACAAGCAATGTAATTCTTGAGTAGCTTTTAAGTATTTTTATTTTTATTTTATAAACATTCTAGTAAAACCAAGCTCATTTTCAATCTTATTGATAATTAATTTTTAATTCAATAAATTCTTTAAATCATTATTATTTAAAATATTAAAAATATAAAGATTTTTAAAAAAATCAAATATACTTATTCTTTTAAATAATATATATATATATATATAATATTTACAAACATAAATAAAATTTATAAGATATAAGACTTAGAAATGGAAATAAAAAGAATAAAGACTATTTAAGTTTAATTATATACATATGTATAAATTATTTGTATGTAAAATGGATAATAGATTAAATTTCTAGGATCTTATCACTTCTAGTATTTAAACATGCATATTTAAAAATGTATTCTAATTAACCTTGTCAACCAAATAATTAAATGTTTTTAGAAAATAATTCTAAAAATAATTATTAATTGATTTCTCAAAAAATTATTAAAAAATATATATCTACTTTATATATAAAATAAATAAATAAAATTGGTGCTTGATTATCTACAAAAATTGTTTGATTAATTGAGGTACTTAGCACCAATTAAAAAATTAGTTATGAGCATTATATAAAATTATTCTTTCTCTAAAGTAGAATTAACAATGAATAGTTTTGGATCTTTGTTGGATTTTCAAACTCTCAGCACTAAATCATTGCAAGTCGTGGGTATTCACAATGCGCTTGAATCTCTAAGAAAGTCTTTTGAAATACCAAAAACACAAAAAACGTGAGCAAATTCTATTTTTCAAGGACATGGGACTCAAGAAGTAATAGCTTAAAAAGTCCCATTATGTATGTATGTATGTATGTATATAAAATAATTTTGACTTTCTATTCTAGAAAAATAATTCATTAAAAAGAATAAAACATGAAGCCCTATTTTAAAGATATAATGTTTACAAATCTCGTAACATTTGTTCATCTCTTATTTTATTTTATTTTGAACATGTAGAACATCCGTTTTGAAGATTTTAACCAATCAAATAATAAAAAATAAATAAAAATGATTACTAAAAGAAGATTGAATGCTTATTTTTCTATTTAAAGAGCTTAAATTTTTATTTTTATTTTTAAAAAATAAATATATATGTTTTAATATACAAAATAATGTCTTTTAAATCTTCTTATTTTTTTTTTTAATTTTTAAAATTATCTTTCCTGAATTTAATTAAATAATAGACCATGATTTTTAAGAATTTTTAAAACTCATAAAAAAAATTTATAAATTGATTTTATTATCTAATTGTTTTGACTTCATAACCAACTTTTTACATCTAAATTTGAACATTTATATAAAATCTACATTGTCTATAATAATCATTAAATAGCATATAAGAACAACACTCAATGATAATAATTTGAAGTTTGGAACATAGCATAAATAGATACACTTTTTCTTTTTTTCCTTGTAAATACTTACATACAAAGAATAAATTATTTAAAAAGCACCTAAAATGACTCTTTTTCAACTACTTGCTATTTATCATCTTGATTCAGTAAAATTCACTACCCATATCTCTTTCTAAACTATTTTCTAGTCATCAACAACGATGATAATAAAAATTACCCCATCACTCGATTAATTAGGCAAAGAGATGAATGTAGCTGATATAACGAATGATTCCAGCGATGAACGCAGACGACTTTTAAGGATGAGTATCAGCGGATGAAAGATAGTTTCATCGCTTGAGGTATACGTTCATCAAAGGCCTAGGGTTTCGTCTAAAGGCCGCGTCCCATGACAGGAAACTCCTCTTTCAACTTTGTTTATTGCAGAGCTGCGAGCGGCACCAGCAGCAGCAGCCATGACAACCCGGCTGAAGAAGAACCGCAAGAAGAGGGGCCATGTGAGCGCCGGGCACGGACGTGTTGGAAAGCATCGCAAGCATCCGGGAGGGCGTGGTAATGCGGGAGGTATGCACCACCACCGGATTCTCTTCGACAAGTACCATCCAGGGTACTTCGGAAAGGTCGGTATGCGCTATTTCCACAAGACCATGAACAAGTTCCACTGCCCTATTGTGAATGTGGACAAATTGTGGTCGCTTGTGCCCGAGGCTGTGAAGGAAAAGGCCGATGGGGACAAATCTGCTCCTCTCTTGGACGTCACACAACATGGGTTCTTCAAGGTAATGCTCTCGTGTCAATTAATGCATCCTTCGTATTGCTTTATGTTGTATAGGAGTCCATTGATTGCACTTACTGGATTCATATAATTGTGTAGTTTAGGTCTCACTTTTGCCCCAACTCACTTTGATGACCTGTGTACCTCAGGTACTTGGCAAGGGGGACCTTCCAACTCAACCCATGGTAGTGAAGGCGAAATTCTTTTCTAAACTTGCTGAGAAGAAGATCAAGGAGGCCGGGGGAGCTGTTGTTTTAACCGCTTGATCTTGACTCTGCATGCATGTTGTGCTGTAGTTTTCGGAAGGATGCCCAGTATGGTGTCTTATGAGGTGTTGATGTACTTAACTCGACATTTTTGTGCTGAAGCTGAATGTAAGAACACATTAGAAATGAAGATCCATTCTTGCCCATCACGTTTGTGTTTGATTTGCAATTTTGACTGTAATCTCAGTGATTCGGTATGTAGTTCTAAATTATCTCTTGCTACGAGCAATCTTTGATAACCAATGTTCGAACTTTATATCTTTTTGCTAAATGCTGCGATTGTGCCATCAGTTTTCATTCCGATCCCTGAGTGGCCTGTGTGGGTCTATCGTGGGCTGAGCTCTTTTTGTGCCATTACAGTCCGGAATGGACCCAATTTTCACTTAATCACATCGTATGAGATTATGATATTTGTTTTTGTGGATGCTATTCTGATTTTGGATCTGTTCAGGTTGTCCTTAAGGACCGTCTGTGTTTCTTTTGTACATTATTCTGCACATTCTTTGACATATTTTGATAGCAACTTCGGAGATTTCTTTGTTTTATTTTATTTTATGTTGAAACCCAATACTAATCAAACAGGTTGGGTGGGATGATGTTTGTACATAGATGCATTGATAGCAAGACCTGGCTATCGTTGTGCTTAATCCAAATCCTGTCGCATTTTGACCTTGTGTTTCATTTTGATACTGCTTGAGAGTTGTTCGAGCAACACATGGGGTCATTCTGTACCAATTCGTGTTGACAAATATTTGCAGAGTTTGTAATTTGAAAATCTTCTTGCTCAAGGGTCTCCCTAGAGCGAATTTGAACCTATTTTCTAAGTTAAAACATTCTCTTAATCGAAACCACAGTATAGAGTGCCTATTATGTTTATCTCAGCTTCTGTACCTGCCTTGTGCAACTTTGTTAAATGTAGAAAAATCTTCCAATACAAATGTATGGCCAAATTGATGATTAAATGAGAAAGTTTAGAATTGTGAGATAATTTTAGTATGTAATATGCAGCCAATTACTTTTCCAATTATCGTCATATGTTTGTGATTGTCATTTGGAATGGTGAGAAGTGCATCTTTAAAGTACCAGAAATTATCGAAAATATGTTCCAAATCATGTATATTCTATTAATAACAATGTCTCACATTCAAGAACAAGTCCTTCTAGTGCAATATTGCAAGAATTTGACTTCTACAATTTGCAAATATTTGACTTGCAAATCAAATTGTAGAAGATTTGATACAACAAATGTCACCATTATAGCACCATTATAAAATACAATCAAATGAAATAAAAGATACAATGTCTTAATCTTGTAGAAAATATTGCAATTGTTCTATGGACTAAATCTAAAGCAATTGACTAAATTTTTTTTTAACTACTTTAGCCATTATATTAAGCACCATAGAGATGGAATGTACCAAACACAAAGTTTATTTTTTAATACTATTTTAATATCCATGACTTTTAGATCAAGACAAGTATATTGTAAACGAGGAATTGGATGCAATTATACTATAAATTTCTATTTATTATTGTGATTAAAGACATACCAAATTACTTGCAAGTAGAATAAAGCAAGTTGTGGAGATGACTAAAGATATATATATATATATATATATATATAAATATATAATATAATATTTTTTTACTAATTGCCATAGTATATTGGACCTTATGGGCAAAAATTTAAATTTGCTTCTTTAAAATTGTAAAAGATAAATGTTTAGTGATTAATTTCAGATAATTTTTTCTTTTCTTTTTTTAATTTACTAATTACTTAAGTAAAGAATAATAGGAGTAGTGTCATTGTTTAATTATAAAATGTAAAAAAATTAAAATTAGACCTAAATTCTAAGACTAAAATACTTTATTAGACTAGATACAACTATTAAATGTTGATATGGTCATGCTTGGTCAGTAACTTTACAAATCTCATATCTTAAAAAAAGCAAATTAAAGCAAATTAAACGAAACAATTGATTGAAGCAAAAAAACATTATACAAAAATGACTACTATTTGCCACAACCAAATAATGATTACAATGTAATTTTTAATGTTATTAAATACAACCCAACAAAATTGCCAAATACAAAACTTGTTGAATTATTTGCTATAATATAGCTTCCACCAAAACAAATGAAATAGAAAAAAGAAAAAGCTTTGAAAAACTAACTAAGCAACATTTTATTGCTTTACTTCTACAAAAAAAAATAAAATACAACACTACAAAAAATATGGACCAAACTACACTTAAATGGTGGAATTGGAGGGAAACAATACATAATTCAAAATCAAAGAAGAACACAACAAATTTCCACTTCAACAATGCATCACCTTTAAAGCAAGCAAAACACATTTAATTTATGCAATAAAATGAGATCATCTTACAACAATGACAACTAAGGCGCATGTGACCATCACAACACAAAAAGAGCACAACACACAATTATGCCCAACCAAGACTTTTACAACACATTATTTTTTACTACAACTATAAAAACAAAAAACAAAAAACAAAACAAAACAAAACAAAGTTAAATGATGTGAAAACCATGATATTTAGGCCCACTCACAATATCAACAATTAATATTCTTCTAAAATCATGCTCTACTTTCCTCTGTTTTCCTCTTTCCTCGTATCCCATTCAAGATCATTCTCCATAGGTTTGAATTCATTGGGCTCTAGATTCTTGAGAAATCTTACTCCAAGCCATTATCCTCTTCTAATGACTACTATTATTCTAGCAAAAGTGCAAAACATTATTCTCTACTTTCTACTAAAATGGATACACTAGATTTCCAATCAAGCTTGATCTACTCTAAAAATTGAAAGAGTGAAAATTGGAAAATGACAGAAGTAAAATATGTTCTAAAGTTGCAACAAAGACAATGTTGAACAAATGAGTGAATTCTTTACAACAGGGATATATACAAGATCGAGATCAAGGGACTCAAAGTCACTTGCCACAACCATCGAGACAGCACTTTTTGTTTTTGTACTTTTACATTTCCTGAAATTGCTTGACTTCTCTTCTTAAATTTAACCTACAATTTCATGACGAGTCACACTCAACTCCGATTCAGCTTATTCGACATTAAATTACCTTGAATACCTTCCTATGAAGCTGTCTTCCTCTCGGATTTTCTCTACACTATTTTGATCCACGGAAGGGAGCTGGCTGGCTTTATTTTACATCCAGTAAACTAAAATAACCTTCAAATAACTTCACCAGTACGCACTTCAAAGTGCTACAACTCCAACTGCTGCAAATCCTCACATGTTCTGAACAGATGCCAATTCAGGTCGAGAATTTCGCTAGAATAATTCCCCAGCCTTCAAGGAAATGAAGGCACCCTAATATCATCAGATGCATAAAATTAATTATAGTATGTTTTTGTCCCAACAACCATTTTGGCCTCAAAAAAAGCATTTGCAGCCTGCAAAGTCCAAATATAATGATGAAGGGATCAACCTTCACCGAAGACATGGGATGAGCCACTTCGCTTGGCGATTCGAGCCTGGACTGTCAATAAACAGGGCGGAGTAGAAGCACATCCCTCAAACCTAGCTATCTGTTCCAAACCCAACGTATGCAAAATTCAAAATCTAGAAAATACTCCAAGAACAGTTACGCAAAGCGCATAAATCAAACAATCAGTAGGTAAAATTTAGCAATTACTTAATAAAGATTCAACCTGTAAATACAAGGGTCATGGAGAGAACTCCTGAAACTCACCTTCACAAAAAGGAAACACGTGACCCTCCCATATGTCATCCCCTTGTCCAGCGTCTTCATTGTCTTCATTTTTACTATGAGCACCCTCTGTAGCCTCGCTGTCAGCATCATCGGCCGTCCCATTCATGTGTCTTCCATTTAAGGGACAATCAATCACAACATGCTGTCTATCGAGATCCATGAGAAACGCTGCTTCGAATTCAGGATTCAAAACAGACGTAGTCTGAGAAGTATCATGTGGAAGACAACCATTCGCTACCACCTCACCAGATGGCATCAAGTCACAATAGCTTGTCTCATTTACTAAAGCCTCCGAACGGATGTGATATACACCACCATTTTCTTGTGATATAGAGTCTTCAGATTGTCTGTCAATGATAGCTACGGATTTAGCATTCGTCATCGTAGTGGCAAGTCGGGCGATGGGTTGGCCAAGCTGACCACCCATGATCTCCGATTGTCCGCCATCAACATTTGAACGATCAAGATGGTCATGATTTGCATTCCCGCCTGTGTCGGAATCAGAAAACCGAGCACATACACCAGGCTTGATGTAGTCTGAAACCACCCTCGAATCTGTTTGCTCTACCCCTGAAATGATAACGGTACCGTCCTTGGACTGTAATAAAGGTCCATGAGATAGCTCAGTTCTGCCCATAACCAGCGACTCTAACCCTTGTTGAGCTTCACGGAAACATGGAGGTGACCCAAATGATGACGGAGTGTCCGCTACTGCCACCCCTGAAAAATCTGCATCCGCCAATTATCAAACGTGTTTAAAACACTATTGAAAGCAGCTTCGAAAAGAACGGCCGTCTGCATCCTGAGAGTGACTAATACTTGAAGACTAACTCTATAAACATGTACTACCACCAAAACAAAAGATAATTTATCTTGTATGGGTGTAGAGTATCAGCAATGAACCGCGACTCCAACTTGGTAAAGACAGTCACTCCTACCTAAGAAGTAAGTATCTAGTAAGTTATTTACATCTCATCAAACTGCTCCTAGAGAATTTGAAAACAATAAAACTGCGATAAATGCACTGTAACCTACAACAGCAACCATCACTTCAAGACAAAGCCTTCTGAGAAGAATTTACTAGTGTGGTAGCTCTACGACCTTGCTCGAAACTTCATTATGCCAAATAAATATGAAATTCTAAGCATGCGCCTTTGATTTTCTGTATACAAATGAAGTGGAAGTCCATTTCAAATCAGGACCACTCAAAAAAATCGACGTACACCCAACAATCAAAATCATTCAACACCACTACAAACTCGATACTTCCATCGTTGACGATACATGTTGATAAGGTATAACAAGTGAGCAGGACAAACCTTGGTAACCCTGGTGATGTCCATTCATACCACCTGCACCAGCAGTAAATGGAGCACCTTCTGAGCCTAAGCTATTGCAACTATCGGTACGTTGGATAGGCATGAACTTCAATCCTTCGCCAATGAATCCATCTTGAGGACCCTCAGCTCCATGAATCTGTTCATGAGCATTAGACACTCCAGGCAAAGTATCTGATACACTAATATCACTGCACAAAACAAAACTGAAAATCAGTTCGCCAGTCCCGAATTTAATTTAGAGCAGAAGGCAATGTGTGAGAGGATTGATAAATGATGCACCGACATGCTTTTACCAAGAAAAAAGCACTCAAGAAATACCGACAGATACCATTGACATAGGAACGTCCAGATTTGATGAGTAACTTGTGCTCAGATACTCGTATATTGAAAGAGCACTCTAGGAACATTTATCTCACCGAGAATCCTGTACTTTTGTATAGATTTGGAGCCTTTCAATTAAAGGGACCAAATCTTTTTTTCGTACTTCGACAACCCGAGTAGGAATTCTTTCAATCTCAGTCTCTCCAACCCCATCTTCAGAGGGGTAGTCTTCAACCTTAGATTCCTCTGGTGTCCCCGACAGCATCACATGAAATTGTATCTAAAAAGGAGTACAGTCTTCGTAAGAATCTAGCATCTGGAGTTGAGTTAAGGAAAAATTAAGCATCGTACAAACTCCACGCCAAAACATAACGTACAATACGTCAAATACTCGTACTTAAAATACAAATCATAAACTGAACCAAGGGGAAAATACAAGTTACAACACAATCTAAAAGGTTCAGATTAATTGAAACAATAAGAGTTGAAAGTAACAAGTTCCATGAAGGGTAATCAAATTTGGCTGAAAAGAAAAATTGCGAATACCTTAGATTTTGCCCAGATGGGTACAGGTCTAGCTTGATACATCTGCAGTTCAGCATTGGACATAAACCACCGTTGCATCTCTTCAGTTGTCGTACCTTCCTTAACTACAGCTCCTACAGAAATAGCTACGCTTCCTGAATTGGCCAGCACGCCTTCTTCATGATGTGCGCCTAGGCCCTCAACTCTCTCTTCTCGCTCCACCCAGTTAGGTCGACGAGCAATATCCCACCTCTCTAAAGGTTCAACAACTACCTTCAACTCTTGTGCAAGGCCAGGGCTTCCTGTTGTGCTCATTCCAGCCATTTGTGGCAGGCCATTGGTGTAGCCACTCTCACCTCCAATTGCAGGACGCAGCAAATACCGAAGAAGATGCCCTGTTGGACATAAAACCCAGAGTTGGTCCTTCAACGTCCCGACACCAACACCTGACTCCACAACTGCTCCACCACCATCATGAAAAACAGCAGCCACAGCGCCTGCAGGAATATTGGGTCGGCCGGTAGCCGTCACTGCAGCACTAGTTACTGTCCCCCGCCATCCACCATTCCCATTCTTTATTCTACCCACTACATTGAGAGTTAAAGCAGGAGGAGGGGGATGAAGTGCCTGCTGATTCAGACTCAGAGGTCCTGTATTAGACCACCAGGGGAAAACGGGGGCCTGTGTTAAAGACGGTCCGATTAGCCCATCAATAGGTACTGTTCCGTGCGATTGTGGTCCCACCACTCCTCCAAAAGGAGATATAGCATACAAGTGGTTGGTTCCTCTCGAAGAACTAACAGCAATCCAATAGCTGTCGCCACTGAAACTGATATCCTGGATTATCTGCAACAATGACAATAACAAAGAAATAACGTCAAACTCTATCCGAATACTGACTGCCCTAAAATTGAAGGCCGAAGATGAGAAGAGAACACCACGCCACTTACAGCATTTGTGACCCCACGGGAGAGTTTGTAGAGATGCACAAAAGTTGAGCTCATATCCCCACCAGTCCCGTTAGCACCAGCTGTCGAGGATGAAGGCGTGAGGCGGAAGACATTGAGATTATGACCATAAACAGATGCAGTGACCAGGAGGGTGCCACTAGGATCAAAAGCAAGCGCTGACAACGGGCTTGAGTGCGCCCTAAATTGTGCCACTACATTCTTGCTCACGATATCCCGAATGATCACCTGAAATCCATCAGGTGAACTGCGGTGTAAAGATTTTTTTTGTAGAAATCATATGTAAGACTCAGGATACACAACTCCAGTATTCATCAAAAATTAACATGTATTCCAACGTGTTCGAAGAAAATTGAGCTGCTAGTCGTACTCTGACCAATGAGAAGCATAAAACAGGTAGCGCTAAGGTGACAAACCTTACATGAGGGTCAAAAGTAAACTAGAACTTACGGTGCCAGCAAACTCTGGTTCGGGGGAGGAGCCTCCTTGCCAAGGGCTGTGGCCATTGATGCCGTTCTTGCAATTGGAACTGCCCATCCCTGAAGGAGAATAGCTACCATCCGGCATGAGGTCTGAGCAGTATCGAGATATTGTCTTCATGCCCATATCACTCAACGTCATCACCCCTGCAACGAAATGTCTGCTGGATTCTTTTGCGTAATGAGCCACTAAACTGCCGTTGGCTGGAGAAGTTGATGGACTCGCCCCTTGGGATGGGATCAATTGCTGTGGAGACACACGGCCAGTAGTTGCCATGAGAGGTTGATAGGCTGCATATGCTAGCCACCGGGGTCCAACTGCCATCGCACCATGTCCATAGTGATTGGACCCTAGGGTGGGAGTTGGGGATGGATAAGTAAGCACGGTAAAAATGTTCTGAAGTGTCCCTGCATTAAAACAATATATCTGCAGAATAAACAATGATAAGCTTCCAAATTCTAAGATGTCTTCATTCACTGAACAGTCCATACATACACGAAATCCGAATTCTATCAGTAAAACAACCTGCTACTGAAATAACATACTACAAAAACAACGCACACATTTGGATTATTGACAAACTGCAGAATTTCAGCACTAAAACAATAAACGAAACAAAAGTTAAACATACTACTTATCATAGAACAATAAATTAATTAAAAATTAAAAAAAAAAAAAAAAAAAAAAAAAAAAAAAAAACCCCAAGTACCTGCGCAGCCAAAGCCACTGCAACGACACGAGAGCTGCAGCGCACCGCATGAATACCTGTGCGGAATCTTAAGGTGTGCACATAAGAATGATTACGGAGTGAATAAAACCGGATGATAGTTGGCACAAAATGTGAGGCTCTCAGACTCAAAATGTTGCCCCCGCCACCAGCACCATAGCCACCCACGAAACCTGCAGTACCTGCATTCCCGACGCCTGTGGCATCTGAAGTGACAACTAACAGCAGAGGTTGGGTTCCCTTGAAATTCGCACACCCATCAATCGCGTCTTGAAGTATCGGCTTTGGTTGAAGTCGCAGGAATGCAACTGGTCCATCACGACGCGAGACCAATTCATGCACATTACTCGCGTCTTGTACATCCCACACTTGAAATCCATTTGAATATGCCAATAATAGGATTTGTCGAATATCGCCTGAGCTGAGCTCTAGCTTGTCAAAGCTTGACCACTGGACCTGCACATTCATAAAAAGTTAAACACAACTCCAAATGACACAGATCCAAGTGGTGCAAAACTAAATCATATGCCACTAGAAGCAGCTTCTCTTCGAGAACCACTAGAACTGAAATTGAATACTGATCTGAAAGACATAGTGTGCGAAATGAAAAAGAAAAAGAAAAAAACTACTTAAAATACAAGGACGGTTAGCATCCACACACAAGCGCCATCATTGGTGTTGCCAACTCAGTCTTTACGCCTGCACAGCTTAGGCCAATGTCAACGTTACCTGTTCCCGCTGACGATCATCTTCATTGAGTGAACCGTTGGAGGCTGCTGAGACAGCAGCCTGACGTACGGTGGATGCAGCAATGATGCTTGCATTAGCGGAGACACTGCGCAGGTAGTTGGAAATAGTACGGAACGAGGAAGGAAATGATCTGAATTTGCCCCCACAGGGACTACGCACATGATAGTCGGCATTGTTCCTCATCCCACTCTATGCCTTGCTTTTCAAAAGTAGCTCGGCTTTCTATGCACATGCCCGCGCTCCGTCCCTACGCAGCCAATTAACGACGTCAATGATTGGTGCTTGAAGACTTGGAGCTAAAACATGCCATATACTAATTTAGCGAATAATCTCTTCAAAGGGAAAACCCAACATCGATATCCATTCAATTTAGTTACTGTGATCACAAAACTTGAAACTAAAACATTCTCATGTGAGATAAAACCACTAAAATACAAGCAAAATATAAGGAAGCAAGACCACCGAACATTAATCAACTAAGTTTTAGGTAGCTTATTCAGGTCCAAAAGCACTGGCGTCTGTACTATTTCAATAAGGGATCCGGAGATTTTTGTCATTTCAGGTGATTGTACGATTCGCGTTTCTATTGCCATCCTTAAGCGCTGAGAGCAAAACTTCGAAAACTGCCTTACTCGTTCAATCTACTTAAACGATGATAATTCATATAAAAACAAATGAATCAAAGTCGCAATACCCAAGAACAAGGCTGCTCAAATTGAAGCCTGATTGAGAGTATTTACCTGGCAAAGAGTTGCGATTCTCTCAACCCATTGCCTCCTTAGAAACCTACAATAGCCAAATGCAAAATATCAAAAACTTTTTCAGTCGCAATACCCTTTTAGATTACCAATCCATCCAAATCTTGTACAAGATTATTTACAATTTCGACCACCGATCCGAAAAGCTATCCTTGCCCTGCACATACTAAACAGACAAAATTCAAACGCAAAATTCGAAAACTGAGAGTATGCTTACACGACGAGCCCTCTCGCATGACCCTCAAAAGACTTAAGGGTGAAACCAATTGAAACCAAGAGAGGCAATGAACGTATGATGCTCGCAAACAACCAAGTCTCCCACAAGTGACGTACAATATCGTGACCTGAATTGTAAACTTCCAAAAGACCTAAACATTTCCAAGATTTCAAAGATAACTGAAAGCTGTAAAATCGTTCAAATTTTCGAGTCACACGTGTCAATAAGCAAAAATGAGAAAAGACAAAACGATCATCGACGAAGGCAAGAGGGTTTTTATATAGGCAAATCCAGGTGCACCTCGACGTACAAAACAAGACCAAGGCAAGAGGGTTTTTATATAGGCAAATCCAGGTGCGCCTCGACGTACAAAACAAGACCAACACATGCGAACAAAATACACCTCTCTTACGCACCCGCGTACAGCATGAAAATTGAAATAAGTCTGGAATCCGACCCAGTATACAAACGTCTACCGAGACAATCTGAACTATACAACATGATAACCTTACCAAACCGCCACACGGATTCCTACACACGGCATCTAGAGCAATAGTTTTAGACTAGACACGCAAACAAAGCACCGCTCCCAACTCATCGAGTCTGAATCCTGACACACACCACAAGACTCGTCTCTGCCCCAGCGAATTTCCCTCTGTCGAACTCCCTAGGTTCAAGGCGAGGATTATTCCAGGAGAATCAAAACACACACTCCCCACTGACCTCCGCATCCCCTATCCTCGTCGCTACCTTTCTCTCACCCTACATCTCCACTATCGTAGCCCACATCTGTTCACAAACGCCAACCGCTGCGACGCATCAACATCCTCATCAACACCCGGACCCCATCCACAACCGCATCTCATCACCAGAGCACCGCAGACAAACTCCCACCCATCTCATCACCTCATCATCTCATCATTTCATCGTATGGAACAAGCTTCCCCGCCCGCATCGCTCACGAAATCACACTGCTCAAATGCCTCAAGCAAACTACCTGACGCCATAATTCTTTATTATCCGGAGTGGGCAACACAGCAGACACCGCTCACTTGATCGGCTTCGTCCACTGCACCCGAATCGAAACCAAATGGAACTTCTCACGTTGCAGCAGGAATTGATTAGAGAGGGCGATACGGACTAGGGGGCAAAAATGTTTCAAACTTTATACTCTCAAGGGTGAAAGTGTTTGTCAGCCCGGGTGGGCCAGAGCTAGCCTGTACCACGGGTGGCGTCCGCCCTCCCTTTCACTTCCTCTCTCTCGTCTAGAAAATTACCCGCCCCCGACTGGATCAAAAACCGGTGAAAAACAATGAGGCAACACAAAATTAGGAGAGAAAACAGGGGATAATACGATCGTTCAATATGGTGCCTGCATGAAATTATAGGTTAAGAAGGGGAGAGAAAGTGTGCACTAGAGAATCGATGAGTAGGAACAGTTTGAAGTGCATGTGAGAGAGGAAGGAAGCGAGAGATTCCTCAAGGTGCTGGATCATATTCCCACGACTCACCAGCAGCCTCGTAAAACTGAAGACACTCAGCGAAAAGGCCGCGAGCTCATTTCCCCAACGACAAATCTGAGTTCTTCGGTGACGCCATTGGGCACAGGGAAGAAGACCCCCCACCTCCCCTTTGACTTACCCGCCCTTTCTCCAGTAACGGTGCTTGCTGTCCATTCGTGATGGATGTCCCGCATCCCGATGCACATTCATTCATTTCCTCGTTCGTCTTTACGAGATGGATGACTTTTATTTCATCGAACTTTCATTCGTTCACAATGTGACTCGTCCCCGCTTCTCATCCCCCATTGGCTTTCCATTTCCTTTTTCTGGTTGTGGATAAGCAAAAACAATCCTGCGCTTCGAGTGGGAATTACAGTTACACCTCAAGTTGAGGTTTTCGAATTTTTTTTCTTTGAATAATTTTTGAAGTGATTATGACGTTTTTTATTTTTATATTTCTTTTAAGTTTTTTTCAAAGTGTATGGAATAGTAATGACAATGACTCACAAAGGGGTTTGCAAATCTTCCGAAGATTTGCAAAATCATTGTATTGTATGTCAGACAGGTGTAATGAAAATAAAAATAAAAATCTCTAAATTTATAGGATGAAAATAAAAACCATCTCAATCCAGAAAAAAAACAAACAAACAAACAAACAAACAAACAAACAAAAAAGTAGATTTGTAATAGAAGTGGATTTCATATATCGGTCACTAATATTTTTTATACACATGGAAGATTTTTGAATGTAAATTCAGGCTTAATAATATTATATGGAGGACATAGTTGAACTTAAAAGAATAAATGCAGTGACAACAATAACCACCACATATCAAAATTTTGTCAATATTATAATAAAAAAAAACCACGTTTTGATATATATATATATATATATATATATAATGGTATTTGTGTGATTTTGTTACTATTGGATTGTAATGATTCTTTAGAATAAAGTGCATTTTAAACAGAAAGCCTTGTTCTATGATATAAGGCTGTGTAACAAGAATCAACCACATAAGATACTTTCCTATAACAACAAGCACTATGTAACTCCCCCCATGAGCACATCCTTACTTCACCCCACAAAAAAGATAATGTAGTCACTTGGTCCTTGTTCACACACAAGCCCACTGCAAGAGATCTGCAACAAGAGCAACACAGTAAATTGTCTGAAAAAACAAACATCTCTTTCCGTGCCACAAAATTTACAGAAGCAGCAATTGCAGTCACAAAACACCCAGCTAATAACAGTGTGAGTTGATAACAGTATGAGTATCATTTATGGAACTTCTGATTGATGCAAGATTATACTCACTTTTAGGGGAAATGTAATGAACTTCATTGTGAGGTATGGGATTAATGTGTACAAACAAAGTTAAATTAGTGTAACACAACCTACAACAGCCACTGTTCAGATCATTTTATTCTGTTTATTTGAGTTAAATATCATTTAACAATTTACTGAAAAGGAAATCGATGGCGGTGTGGGAGAGTGCCGATCAAGTTTGTCATTAATAATAAGAGGACAGAGCGGTTGTTTGAGGGAGTGCCCATCAAGTAAAATGTTGTATAATAAAAGAAAAATGTGGTGTGGGTGGATGGGAGCAGAGAGTGATGAGCAAGCTTGGGACCCAGAACAGCCAAAATAGGCATAAATGAATGGAATGGGGTCGATGTCCCAAAGCATTTGCTTGGAGTCACTTGCACCAAGGCCCACACCATTAAATGACCTTGCAAATTTGTGTGTCTTAAAAAGGTAGAAAAAAATTAAAATTGAAACTAAAATGAATGGAGGAAGTGACTTATACATGAACTAAGCATGGCTAAATGAACTTCTACAAATTCCAAAAACATACGCTCTTTATTTTATATATTTTTATATATTTTTGTTTATTTTTTGTTCTATTATTTTGTTGCTGTTGTTGTTTTTCAATTAAAGTTTGGATACATTGGTCTAATTTTAGAATTAATAGTAAAAAAATCGGTTTGTTACAAAATTTAAATTAAATGAATATTTAAATACAAGCTTATTAAAACCATATAATAGTTTTTTGATGTCAAAATACTCATCATACTTAATGAAAAAATATTAATTGATTGGTTTTATTTTTAAACAATCTAAATTTTATTCATAACCACAATTAGACTTTGAACAAATATATAAATATATACCAGACTTTGAACAAATTCACATCAATCTTTGATTTATTGAATGCTCTAAAAACCATTGTAGTTAAGACTAAAAAAATAAATATTTTTTGTTTTATTTTATTTTAGCTACTGGTATATGTAAAAGAGTGTAATCATAAAAAAAAAACACCTATTTATGTTTTGATAGACCTAACTACATAGTCAAAAGTTATATAGAATGGTAATAAAAATACAATGCAATAAAATAAAAGCTCTTGAAGTTTTAAAAAGTTTAATTTCTTAAAAAAAATATTTATAAAAAAATCAATATTTGTTCAAAAATATATTTAAAAAAAAAAAAAAAAAAAAAAACTACATTTTGTGTATCAATTTATATTAAGATCCACTTGTACTCGTACAATTATAATTAAGACATAAGATTAATTGTTACATTACACACAAAAGGTTGTTTTAAGATGACATTTTACGTTTTGCAGAACAACCAACCTCTTCAAAGATGAGAATAATCAGTTTTTAGACGCACACATTGTTCAAAAACAATTTCAAAAGTTACATCACACTAAATGCAATGTATATGTTAATATTTATTTATTTCATAGTTTTGACTAAATTTGTATCTCTTAAGATAGAATTAAAGATTAAAGACCTTATCTCTTTCATTTTAAAACTTTCTGTTTAGAACAATTATAAAAAAATAAACTAAAAATAAGTAAAATAGTGTATTAGTAATTAAAGGAAAAAAATCTCAGAGAAATTGTATCTTTTTATTTGTACAATTTATGTGTTATCAATATTTGAAGCCATGACTACGTCAATGACACATCTTTTAAAACACCAACTAAGGTTTAAGAAAACTGAATGAGCATTTTATACACAATGGTGTGAATTATAAATTTAATAAGTACATTAAAGGTGTTTCAAAATAAAAGGATTGTTATAAATTTATGCTCTATTATTATTTTTTTTGACACAATAATTGAGTATGTCTTAAGGATCCGAAAAAACTTATGGAAATGTAAATCTCTTGCTTTCAAAAGTTTTTTAAGGTTGGAACAGATGCTAATTTAAAGAATGTCAACTCTATAAAGTTTAAAGAAGATTGTTTTAGTTATGTAATGGTTAAAAACAAAACTATCAATACGTCTCTAATTTTTTTGTAACATTATCAAATAATCAACCCTAAAACCAATACAATGTTAATTGTTTTTTGATTTTTAGATTTATGAAATATTGAATAATTTTTTAAAATCTTACTTTATTTTATTAAAAATATGAATGAGAAGGATCACAATTATTTTTTTATAAACTAAAACACAATAATCTGTGTTCACTTCGTTTTTGTTTTGTTTTGTTTTGTTTTTGTTTGTTTGTTTGTTTTTTTTTTTTTTTAAAAAAATCAACTTGTACAAATTTTAATAAAATATTTACTCTGAGTTGGATTTGTTCGTGTCAATTTTATTGAAAGTCAATACAGTATTAGTTTTGATCAAAATCGATATATTAAATTCTACTCCATGGTTATTGTAGTTATCATTATCATTCATTAGATACTAAAAACAAACATAAATGAAAACCTCATGGTGTAACATAATATTTTGAAAATGACATCATTTTTTTAAAGGTACTGCAGAGTGAGCAATTTGACATATGGGCATTGAGTTTTAATTGCTATTAAACATGTTTATGAATGTTATATGTAAGTTAGATTTTTTTCACTATATGTGGACATCAAAATCCAATAATAATTTCTAGATCTATATACCAATTTTTTTGAAAAAATCGTTATTATCATGAAGCCACATGGCAACCATCAGCAGCATAAATGATTCCAATGGTAAAATTTATCAAACGGAAATAAATCAAAAAAATAAATAAAGATAGTTTTCATTTATTTCTATAAGCGTTTCTATTGAATTCTGGAAAAAAAAAAAAAAAAAGAAGCTTAGATATACACTCTAAATTTATAAAACAAGTAATTTTTTACAGACAGTATAATTTTTTGTCGTAAATTCATTAGTCTTGTTAAACGATATCCAATACAATAACTACAGTGCTAAACATGGAAAACAAACACTTTCCCAAAAGATTGATAACATAAACTCATAATACAACAAAAGACTTTCACTTGAAAACTAATAACATCACAAACATAAAAATAATCCAAATCGTGAAAAGGGTGCTTGACACCACGTCTAACAGACCATCCAACCTTTAGTATATTCTCGGTGTTAGATTGAGTTGGATTAATATAATAGTAAAAAAAATAAAAACCCTAAACGCCAAAGGAGTGCAACTTGAGCTTATTGATAGCAACGATACACAGAAAAATGCCAACTGAACTGGATGATACCCCAGGTATTCGGCTCCGCACGTTTACCGGGCGACCGGTTGTGGTGACTGGGCGGGAGTAGGGGGGGCGCCCCTTGTTTCGCAGGTGTGCCGATTTGAAAGGAGGCAGGGGCGCACTGGAAAGCGGCGGAGGCACGAAGGTGGCTGGCTGCATTGCAGGGCGACGTCCATTTGTGGAGTCCAGCACCCCCTCGCGCTCCGTTTGTGCTCTCGTTACTCTACTTTTCACAATCTTGCGGATAGCCTCGACTCCCTCCACTTAGGGTTCCCAGACCATCACTGCAGTGTATGATACCTCTGTGGCTGTCGTTTCTTGCAGCTCACATTTACAATTCGCGACAAGCAGCGAGGTTATAGCACTCGCTGCGTCGTGTTTCTGCAGTTTCTGCGCAAATTCGTTTCCGCTTCGAGGGAATTATTAGAGCGGATCTGGTGTGGGGATCATGTGCTTGAATTGTTTTCCAAGAGGAATGCACGAAGAGTGTAGTGATCTGTAGAGTGCAAGTGCGACGTGAGAGAGAGAGAGAGAGAGAGAGGACAGAGGAGGTGGAAAGAGCCGAACCGGGGTTGTTAGGTTAATAGATCTGAAGAATGGCGTACAATGATGACAAGAGCGAGGATTATTTGTTTAAGGTGGTGCTGATAGGAGACTCTGCTGTCGGGAAGTCGAACCTGCTGTCCAGATATGCGCGTAATGAATTTAATCTGAATTCAAAGGCGACAATTGGAGTGGAGTTTCAGACTCAGAGTATGGAGATTGGCGGCAAAGAAATAAAAGCACAGATCTGGGATACAGCTGGCCAAGAGCGGTTCAGGGCAGTGACTTCGGCTTACTACAGAGGCGCAGTTGGTGCGCTTATTGTGTATGATATAAGCCGGAGAGGCACTTTCGAGAATGTTGGTCGCTGGTTAGACGAGCTCAGAGGTATGCATCGATTCCGTTAAATTCACACAAAGGATTATCGATTGAAAGAGGATGCTCCGTGCCTTGCCTTTACCATAGGCATAAGTAGGTGACAGAGATTGGAAACGAGTTGCCAGTCACTGCTGTGCAAGACAAGATATCTGCGGTGTTCGCACCTCCAAATCCTGTTTCTGAAGTTTTTTTGCGTTTCCATGTGCAATCGCTACTTGCTAGGCGCATTACAACTTGCTGGTTTGTTGTAGCAAAAAGTATATAGTCGGGGTGTTCGACATATGAAGGTGCGGTGAATTGATTGGGGTCGGAATCTTGCAGTGCATTCGGACGCAAGCGTTGTGGTGATGCTAGTGGGCAACAAGTGTGATCTAGACAATATCAGGGAGGTGTCACAAGAAGAAGCCACCTTGTTAGCGCAGAACGAGAAAATGTCGTTTATCGAGACGTCAGCCATGGATGCAACGAATGTCACCAATGCGTTCCAATCGGTTGTGAAGGAGATTTACAGAGTAGTCAGCAAGAAGCCACTTGCGTCGTCTACGTCAATGAAGTCCAACACCGTTTTAGGAAGCAGCCAAAGATTGGCAGGCATCGACGACACACAGCCAAAGAAAAACTGCTGTTCAACAGGTTGACACATTACACCACTCGGTGGCCTTTGTGCAGATCTTCTTGTATTACTTTTTTTTACGTCCGATACCTGTAACTAGGAGGATACAAAACATTTAGGTAGAGATTGTCTCATCATTTTCAGGTCAGAAACTAGAGAAACCTTCATTGTTTGATTACGTTACTTGGTTGAATTTGTTTGTTGTTTTAATGGAAAACAAAACTGAATTGGAAAACAATTACAGCTCGCACAATGGTCATAAGCTAGATTAACTTTCATAATAAGCTGTCTCTTCTCTTCATTAAAAGCTTCTTGCAAGCTTCTGGTCAAGTTCGTATTATTGGGAATTTACTATTTATTGCATCTGCATTCTGTCTGATATTAAAATCTGAGGTGTCCTGAGGTCCTACTTGGAGTTAGCCTCATATTATCTGAAAGTCCTAGTTGAAAAATGAGTATTACTATCAGTCAAAGCTTCGTTCTGCTTCTTCACTAATGCCGCACGATCCACAAATCAAAACATGTCCCGATTACTAAATCCTTCTTCAGGATACTCACACTGCTTGGTAGAGGACAGCAAATATGGCTTGACTGCTGAGTTCCTTGTTGCTACTTCGACATCTGAAGAGCTTCTAGAGATTTTTAGACTCCTACACCCACCATTACATCATTTCGAATCCCATCGAGTACCATGGCAAGCTCCCCAAGCCAGCAGAAGAAATAAAACTACTATTCGTTCTCATCGACACTGTCACAAAATCACACCTGGCAGAAATTACTTAATTACAGATTCAATAACTCACAACCGCATTTCAGGAGGCTACAATTGAACCCAAGACAACCGATTCACAGAGGAAGAGAACAATACATGATAGCTGCTGGTAGAGCTGTTCCCATCATCAGTCTGCTTCCTATCACTCCACATCCCTGAGAGATAAACAATGCCAGAAGTTTAAACTACACAATTTCCATTACGGCCGATCAATCTGAAAGACTCAGTTCTCTGTCTTTCTTGACCTAAATCCGTTTAAATCCTTATCATCATTCCGCATTCTAACAGTGAATCGCGGTCTGGTTAACCCGAAACGATTGCACATCAGTCGGCGCACCAACCGCCATAATCATCGACTCTGACCTCAAATTGTGAATACATTTAATAAATTTTACGCATTCAATACTTGATGATACTTGCATTTCTGTTCTCACAATATGAGTGTCAATAAGATCGATCATCCAATGAGCCGACTTTACCCTGTGATGAGCAGATTCTAGAGACCTGCCGCGGCACTGCAGGATCTCAAGCTACAACCAACTCAGGCTAGTTAGTTCCAAATTCAATTCGAACATCTCCCACTTGGACGGCAGATTACTCTCGATCCCATTGTCAATGGCCTCATGAGATCAGTTTCCAAGCCCAAAGTTTCGCATTTGCGCAAAACGATGTCGCAACATAAAAGTATTATGCATGAACCTTTTAGAGATTGGTGGTGAGAACAGCAACCGATGCTTGAGATGCTTGAGATGTTAGATCATTGGAGCTGCGCACTCCATGCATGAGATGTGCAACAAGGCCATGTCCGTGACACACGGATTTATATCCACCACTAAGTTCATGACGAATCGGTTCAATCCGGTGGTGTGAAACCTACAGGGCGTTACATGAGGGCGGTCACCTGATACGGCAAGAGCACCCTAAAGAAAACCGACGGGCTGGTGGTAGAGTTCTTCAAATGCAGGCTTCTGCTTCCCCCACCTCCATCTCTCTCACGTCTGTAAGCCTCGCCCGTACTCCAGGCCACTCAATCTGGTGACAGGGAACTCCATTCAATCCATGGAACTTCACGTCTGCGCACGAAACGGAACGAAACATGGCGCGCTAGACGCACTGCGATATCATTCACCAACAAGTTCCACTGCTCGTCTCGCCGCCAATGGGGTTGTGTCATCACCAAACCAACTCGTAAATACACCCATCCACAACCAGAACCGACCAAGATTCGTGACAAACTGTCATCTATACCCAGCCCAAAGTTCCCAGAATCGCGCGGACTATCGACCAGTCCCACATTTCTCGCACCTCGATCGGGAGCTGACTATCCAAGTTCTCCACTTTCGCAGAGCCCAACAACTTGATCACGATCATTCAAGCACATTGACACATTGACAGGCAAAAAGAAAACACACACCCACCCATCCCAACAAGCCTTCGCAAGTCTAGACATCGAAATTCAGTGCATCGTGTTTCTTTCATTTGCATAGTCCATGATTCGTGTGCAAAGCATGGGGCCGCCCGACATGGGGGTACACCACAGCGTTAAAAACTGTTGGCGATCATCCAGATCCCTCTAGACCATCTATCTGATAATCACGGTAAGTATGCAGCGGAATGCTGCGTATTCCTACTCTAGCATTGCTATGAATCCCTCCGTAGTGGTCATTTCTGTTTCGCTCTACACCTCCGGCCAGCCGCTGTACCACACCTCACGCGATTTCTATCTACCGCAATTGTGGCTTCCAATATCATCATAATCATTCTAGTCATCTCTATTGTTTTTCTACTATTGTAAATAAATTCTTATCAATTCTATTTTTATAGTAATAGTTTATAATGTGATTTAGTTGATAAGAAACAAATACAACACTAAACTCTTCTAAACATTCTGAAATTAAGAACCATTAATAAGTTTAAGTCAAACAAAAAGACAATTGACAAAATATTGTTTATCTCATTTATTTTCTACTAAAAATCCATCACAGTGAATTATATTCTATACAACTAACTTAATTAGTCCACAGGTAGAAAATTGTTTCTAAACTGTGACTTTCAAAATAAGATCCATTCTGGCATAATATAATTGTTAAAATCCTCATACCTCTTCTTCTCCATTCCTTCACCAATCATCCTATTCCCTTTCGAACTATTTGAAGAAGCTAACATTTGTTTAATTTTCAAAATGATTGTTAACAAGAAAACATCTATTGTTAGCATTGGTAAACACCAAAATTCATATTCTTGTTCTGATTTCATGCCTTCTCCGCCTAACCTCCGAGATGCACACAATCCAATTGTTACCAATATTTCCTCACTGAACCAGAAACGCATGACAACTAGTGTGGTCTTTACGAACAAACTTTCAAACACAAAAAAATGTTAGCTAGCAAACGACCATGCTCAAAAACAACGCACAACAGCAGGAGATCTGCGGAAAACAGTCCCAAGCCTCAATGCATCAGAACACGATCATACACTACCCACAAGGTTCGATGAAAACCCATCCTTCCGCCTCACAAAAGAGGGGCCACAGGAGGGGCAGCGGCTGGGAAAATCACTCGTTGCAGGTGGTTATGCAGCTGTGCACAGCGTTGGGGTCGGTTTCCGCGACAGCTCATCGACTTTCCATCCCACACCGAAGCGAAGCCCCGGTGCGAGCAGGTCAAAGCCCTCGCACAAGTTTTGGCATCATTCTAGATTTCGTTGGGATAATGTTTCGCCGCGACCGCTGGTAACCGGAGGCACAAACCGAACTCCCCTGTACCAAGCCAGCCAGCATCCAACCGCTGGCTGACATCCACCGGTAGTTGCGGAATATGACAAGCTCAAAAACCGAACTCGAGATCAACCCGTCGAGCCACTTCCGAGCTCTCCGGGGCGACTGATGGTCGTATGGGGCCACCGCATCAAGGCTCCACAAGCGTGCTGCTGTTCTTGGGCGACTGCAGGCAACAGCACAGGCTGCACCGGGCATCCCGCGGTAGAGGATAGCATCCGAAGGATGGAAGGCGGAGTTAAGAGGTGTGAGGCCTTATGACTTGTCCGTTTCTCTCATCTCGCAGCTCCCATCTCATCTCTCTTCATATCCACCCCTGCTGCTCGTGGTGCGCGTTTGCGTTTGCGTTGTCTCCCGGATTCTCATCCCTTGCAGTAGCGCGCAGGTGTCACTTGTGCTCCGTCTGGCACCATGGCCGCCCCCGCTGGTAAGTACTTCCGCTCGAAATGTGTGGCTTGGTTGGGTGGTGGCGTGCGGGTCGTTGGGGGAGTTGGGGGTCGTGTTTGGTGCGAGGAGGGGAGCTGGGTTGAGGTCTGGAATCGTGGAGAGTGTTTGTGGCCGGGATGGTGTCGCCGGTGGTCCCGCCCCGTGCACCGGGTGTGCCACAACGACTGGGATCCTACGGTCTCCGGGCGCTTGTGGTATGTTTGATGGGGCGGAGGAGGCAAAGGCGGTGGCTGAGAGAGGTCTTCCGGTGCGCATCAGGGTTGTCGCGGGCAGTGTTTGCGGATGAGGCGTCGTGCGGAGGGTTGGTTAGTGAATCTGCGCGAGCTATTTTGACCGGGTGCGAGGAGTTGTGATCGGTCGATGGTGCGGCGAACGCGCGCTGCGCAGCGCAGCGGTTGTGTGCGAATCTTGGGGAGGTGGGTTTGTGTAGCGGAAAGGGAGAATGAAAGCGCCGCGCGATTCCACCGGGGAAGGCGAGCGTGTGGTCGTTTGTGAGGATCGGAGGTCGTGGCTA